CCACGCTTCCAACTCCCCCTGGTCATGCTGAGCTCCTGCAGGTCCCTGACTACTCCAGACTGTTCTGGCCTGCAAACCTCCCCTGGATCTAGAAGCTTCTACAGCTCCCCACTTAGGGGCTCAATAAGCCCTGCTACTTTCTCTCAACTCAGCAAGGACATTGTTTCCTCGAGGAAGACTTCCCTGACCTCACTTCAACTCACTCCCTCCTCAGTGCCCACAGAGAACCATGGCCCTCCTTTGGTGGCCCTGATTCTCACTGAGCCTGGCCTAGCCCTCTGCCCCCACTGCCGCCAGTCTCCCTGTCACCAGCTGGGTCTGATTCTAAGTCCCTGCCCGGCCCAGGGGCTATGAGATGCTCGCTGAGCTAGTGGCTCAATGAGCAGTGGAAGGTATTTCTCCACCGTGTGGGAAATGGAAGTGTCCAGCAGGAGGGACTCCTAAGTGACGAAGCCGGGAAGTATAGAAATTGGGGAACGGGGACGCGTGGCTGGCCCTAGGGGTGTGAGCGACAGAGTCACCCAGACCGACATCTCCCAGGGTCACTGCCTGCCTGCAGCAGTACCGCGTCACTTGCCCTGTAGCAAGCTTACGGGGGAGCAGAAGCAGTGGCCCCCACTGATGCGGATGAAGAAACCGAGGCAAGGAGGTAAAGCCACTTGCCCAAGGAAGTCAAAAAAGCAGGATCCAAAAGGAGACACGGGCTTCGCCATCACCCCAAATGGCCCCTTGGTTATGTGTAGTGTGCGTTGGGAGCCGTGTGTGAGTTAGTGAGGGCAGTCATCGGAGAATGTACGTATTTGCTCCATAGTTGCAAAGCGCTTTCCTAAGCTTGAGCTCACGGGTGCTGTGATGCAGCCAGTGCAGGCATTAATTAGCGTCCCTACTCCCAAACCGTAGTCTAGAGGAGTCACACGGCTTGCCAAGGTCACGTGGTTGACAGCTTTTAGAGCAAGTTGCAAGGAGCCCAGATGCCCAAAGGACAGACGCTGACCTGGAAAACAGTTTGGGGAGGTGGCTTCCGCTTGGGTCGCAGGTGAAAGGACATTTGGAAGGACTGTGGGCAGCAAGGCGAATGTGGTTTCTCCGCAGCTGTGTCCAGATGTGTTTCTGAGTGTGCACTGGGCATCGGCCATATTCCAGGTAGGGTGTGAGCGCTTGGCCAGAGAGGAGCAGACATGGATGCTGTGCAGGTGCCGCGCAGGCGCTAGACCGCTCCCACTGAGGACGGCACTCGGCCGGGGCCTGGCCTGGAGGGCAGGCTTGCCCTTACAGACAGGAAAAGTGGACCCTTAAAAAGTCAGTGTCTGCTGTCATCTCAGAGCTGAGGTTGCCCTCTGGTGACAGGGACTCACTGAACGCTCTTGCCAGCCTCTGCCCTGCAGCGTGTGTAGAGACCCCTGGTGGCCGTTACATGCATCTCCTCATTGTGCTGGGAATTCCGCAGCACCTCCCTCACTGGGGCTGAGCTGTGTATCACACATGGGCTGCACACTCTGGCAGCAAGCAGGGGCTCTAAAAACAGCGTCAATAATGTAAAAAAAAAAAAAAGGCAAAACCCACGAATGTACAAATAATATCAGCGAAAATACGAACAGCCAGTAGTCTTACAAATAAGGCCAGCTCCATTAGTTACAAAATAAATGCAAATAAAAGTCGATTTTCTATTCTCTTCTGTTTGTGAAATAGTAAAAGGGTAGGACCAGCAGGTGGTGTGGTGGTTGAGGCACTGGGCTCCACATGGCCGACCACAGTTCAAGTCCCAGACCCGGTGGCTTAAACTCACACCAGGTGCATGTGCGTGCGTGCCCAAGATCCTGAGAGGAGAATGGAGGAGCAGGGATTATGGCATGACCATCGCCCCTGGGGGGTAATTTCCCATTTTCCTTCTCACTGTCTTTGGCGAGTGCATGCACCCTATGGCAAAAACCTTAAAGAGAAAGAAAGAGAGGGAAAGAAAGAAGGAGAAGAAAGAAAGATAAAGAGAGAAAGTAGAACAAAGGAAAAGAAATGATAAAGGGGCTACTGCAGTGGAGAGTTTGCCACTGGGAGTGTGAATGGGCATGTCCTTTGGGGAGAGCTGTCACCCAGTAATGTCCAATGCCCTGATGTGTCTGTGCCGCGTCTCCGCCATTGGCTTCCGTGACTATCTGGAGGAGGTGACGAGAGGAGCACAGAGCAGCACCTGATAGCCGTCTCGGTGCTGTGCTTAGTAGGTGAAAACTGGAAACTCCGTGGAGAGGGAGCCGGTCTGCTAACCTAAGGTGTGCCCTACAGCAGAGGCGGTTGGCAGCCGTACTAGTTGCAGAAGCGCTTGTGGAGAAATAACCTCTGTGACGTTACATGGAAATGCACCAGGTCAAAAGGTACACATTATGTAAACTGGATTTACGGGACGTCTATGCATAGACAGCAGCCCCGGAGACATATTCTAGCACATTAGTGTCCCTGTCGTTGTGTTCCTCGAACTCACAGGGCCTGCCACTTAGTAGGGATGTGGTGAACTTATGTTGAATAGCACAGAAGCGATCCTGGTACTGCAACAAAATCCAAATTCTACTCTCTGAGATACAAAGTGAACATCGACCCTGCTCGGCGGCTCTCCTTGTCCTACCTATTCTTTCTTCTTTCCTTTGACTTCTCTCTCTCTGTTGCTCCCATTTATTTCCATTTTTAGCTCTTCCTTCTCCCTCCTATTTTCTCTTTTTCTTCCTTTTCCTTTCTCTTCTTCTCTCTCCTTAGTTTCCCCTTCTTAGGGCCAGCAGTTATGTTGCTGGATTTCCATATGCCCGACTGCGGTTCAGGTCCCGGACCCAGTGGCTTGAAAGTGATGCCGGGTGTGTGTGCATGCATGCCCAAGATCCTAGGAGGAGAAGAGAAGGGACTGCAGTGTGGCCAGTCTCCCGGAGGGGAGCGGATTTCTCATTTCCCCTCTCACTGTCTCCCTCTCCAGCGAGTGCACCTGCCCTATGGCAAAAACCTCTAAAAATACCCAAATTTCCCCTTCTCCGTCTCTTTTCAATGATGATTTTAAACTGTGGCGAGAGTGTTTACTTCTGACCAAGTGGCAAGCAAATGTGTGAAGGCAAGAGCGGGTAAAGGGGCCGCGGGGCAGGGCAGGCCGTGGAATGCAGGACAGAACGCTGGGCCCATGCCCAGTGGTTTTTGCTGGTTTTGGTCAAGGCTCCTGCTCTGCTACTTGCTAAAAATCTTCTGAATGATTTTATGGTGAGGTCAGGGATGAGCTCTCTGGTCTTTCTGGAGAAGTCGATGTGACACGCACATCACACAGATGACTAGGATTGACAAACCTGGAGAACGAGGAGATGACATGAGGAAGTCTGAGGGCGCTTCATTTGGGGGCAGTTCCAGGAGGACCAAAGAAAGCCTCTCTAGGGTGCTGCCCCGAAGCTGAGCCCAGAAGGGAAGGAGTCACCGGGCAAAGGGGCAGACAGAGAGGCAGGCTGCAGGAACTGAGTGGGCACAGGCTGAGGCAGGAGGGAGCGAGGCCTGCCAGGAACACAGACTGGGCCGGGCTGGGCTGGGGTTCGCTTTCAGTGCAGTGAGAGGCATCCGTGGTTGAAACAGGAGAGCAGCTTGATCCGGTTTCCATTCTAGCCCAGTCACTCAGAGGCTGAGTGGAGCGCGACAGGAGGGCCCAGAGCAGAAGGGGCTTTGCTGAGCAGACAGCAGGAGCTGCATACCTTCCCCAGGAGGACGGGCCAGCCAGGACGAACAGCGTATGCAGAGGCCCAGAGGCAGGGCAGAGCACAGCCAAGCTGGAGTAGGCCAGGAAGCCACTGTGAATGGGGGCCAGGGCACAGAGGGCCAGGGATGAGAACCCACCTGACCCTGGGGTGGCCTTGACAGCCTGCAGTGGCCTCTGGTGCCTTATCTCAGCCTTTGAAGTGGCCCTGTAGCATGGAGGGCCTTGTAGTTCCGATGGTGCATATCAGGGTGGTCTTCCCGGCAGCTGTGAGAAGAACATGAGGAGCCAGGAGTCTGCTGAGGACAGGCGAGGACCTGAGGGGCAGGTGGGAGGGGGAGGGCATTCACCCGTTCACTGTCTCCTCCTCACTGCTTCATGAGGAGCCGGATGGGGGTTTGCTGGCTACATGCGCTAGTGAGTCTAAAACAGCTGCTCTTCCACAGGCTCTAGCTTCTCGCCCAGCTAGCAAACATTCATTAAGCACCTACTGTGTGCCAGGCGGAGGTGAGGACGCAGGCAGAATGCAGGCCGGTTCACCTCCCAGAGGAGTTCACAGTCCAGTGTGGGAGGCAGTTGGGGTGGCTGGGAGCTTTGGCTCAGGCATGGTGGTAGGAGGAGCCGGGCCAGTGGGACTCCGGGGGACCCCTGTCCTGAGCCACTGTGGATGGTGGGTGAGAGCCCTGCGCCCCCACCCCAGTAGCTGCAGGGAAGAGTTGTCTCTGAATAGTGATCCGACCTGCAGGGACCTCGGTCGAGCTCCTCCCTGCACTCGGCTCGCCTTTCTGAGAGAGGCTGGTGAGGGCGCTGCCCGGGGTACCTGGCTGTTGTGTTTGGGCCTTGTTGACAGCTGGGGACAGGGCCATCTGACCCCCAGGCTGGACCCCTCCTTGGAGGGATGCAGAGGGAGCTTCCGCATAGGCAGGAGCGGGGCTGGGAGCATGTGTGCCCTTTAGGGAGCCCAGGCGCATCTTGGCTGGACAGACAGACTCCTCTTAGGGCAGGATGCTGCTCCTCGTTATCTACAGAAAGGAGCCCAGGTGCCACCGTGAGCTAGCCGGCCCTCGGAGCCAAGAGCACAGGACAGGCCGTAGGGCCAGGCAGCGTGCCCAGGGCTCTCTGGGCCCCAGCCAAGCCCTGTACAGAAGGACTTGTGGAAGCGGGCTCGGAGCAGCCACTTCATGGGGCTCTCATGGCTGTCTTGGCCTGCTACAGAAGGGCTGGTGGAAGCGGGCTGGGGCCAGCCACTTCATGGGGCTCTCATGGCTGTCTTGAATTCTGTGTCTTTCCCAAGGACGCCCTGAGCTGTGTTCGGGATGACGCACTGCCCCTGCCCACCTGTGGAAGCCATGGCCAGTGTGACAACAGCCCTGGACAAAGGGCCTTGGCAGGTGTGTGGGTGCCGCGGCGTGGGGCATGGGTGTCCTGATGACACACCCATGGTTAGCTCATTTGGTCCTCATGATGTCCTGGAGGGGTGGGTCTCCCCCTCCCCACAGACAGGAAGTAGAGACTCAGAGAGGCCGTGTCACTTGCTCAGTGTCACAGCTGGAAAAGGCGGGCTCAGAGTGTGCATTGCCCCCAGGGGTCTTTGACTTAGGCTCACCTAGGCATCTGCTCACCTCGGCAGGGAAGGGTGCCACCAGGGGGCATGCGTGCCAGCAGGGAGGAAGCCGTTGGGATGCCTGGAGCTGCCCTACCCTCCACACCCAGGCGACAGTTCAGGTCTGAAGATGGCAGAGTCCTAGCAGGCAGATGTGGAAGCTGGGGCAGCTCTGTCCCTCACTTGTCCCCAGTGTGAACCGCCATCTCTCCTAACAGGCTCAGGGGGCTCAGAGCTTTGCGTCCGACTGGGAACATGTGCTCATTCATGGCGCCCGGGCCAGGTGTGGCCGCACTCGCCCTGCACTGCGTCTTCATATGCGGCGGTCTGCTGACGGGCGTAGCCAGCACGCCCAGCTAGTTGTTTCCAGAGAGCAGAGATGCAGGTCACCCAGTCGCCTTGTCCTGCTTGTGCAGGGTTGGGCAGGGGCATTACTATCATCCTGTGGACAGATACAGACACCCAGGGTTTGTAAGGCTCCTGGGCTTTGAGGGGTGCATGAGCTCTGTGTCCGGGGAGGAGGCTCGGAGAACGGGTTCTTCTGCTCCACGGCTGGTGATCATTCCACGTCTGGGAGCCTCGGGTTCCTCGCCTGACAGAGCGGTGAGCATTAGGCTGCCTTTGGGAGAACTTGCATGCTTGAGACTTCGGATTAGGAAGAAGGGCCATGTTATCCTAGCTGCAGGTGACACGGTTGCTAATGGCAGCCATGGAGAAAAGCTCCTAGAGGGTCTTTAAACCCTGAGGCCACTTGCTTCCCAGGCCAGCCCTCAGAGGGGCCCTGCACCTGCGGCTGTGTCGGGGGTAGACGAGGCCCTGCTGTTTTGGTGCCGGACCTGGAGACCACAGGCATGCTCCTGGGAGACCTCGTAGGACCTGACAGTGAACAGGTAAGGGCGAGGCTTTGGGCACATGCAGGTACCACTGGGTCTCATCAGTCCTACTGTGTGTGCCCTACTGGGTGCTGGGGCCTAGCCTGCCCCGTTACAAGCTTTATCGCATCAGAGTCTCCTGACCTTCTCTGAGGCAGGTGCTACTGCCCTGTTCTAGAGGAGTAAGGTGAGATGCCAAGAGCCCTCAAGGCCACGTTCTGTCTCTGTCCCATGGCCCCTGCAAGTCAGGAGCCAAGGTCCTGAAGCACTTGCCGTGGCTGGCCTTGAGGTCGTGGCATGTCACAGTTTTCTCACTTCCGTTTTTCTGCTGCTGAGGACAGACCCACACTGAGACAAGGCCGAGGCCTGCTGCCAGCCCTCGCTTGGTCCATGACTTTTTTTTATCTTTTTGAGAGATTGTTGCTATAGGGTGTGTACACTTGCCAGAGACACACAGAGAGATAGAGAGACAGAAAGCAAAAATGGCCACATCACAATCCCTTCTCCTCCACTTTCCTTTCGGGGTTTTGGGCACACACACACATGCACCCCACGTGAATTTCAAGCCACCAGGTCCAGGACTTGAACTGCGATCGACCCTGTGGGAGTCCAGTTCCTTAACCACCACGCCACCTGCTGGCTCAGTCTCTCAGTGGCTTCTTCCTTCCTCGGTGTCCTGCTCTGAGCTGGAGGCTGACCAAAAGCTGGGGCTACAGGGAGAGCTACATGGAGAAGCTGCCATTTCAGTGGCCCCGCAGAGAGCTGGGGACCGACTGACAGGCTCACGGGGCCTCCAGGGCAGGCCCTCTTTTATCTCATTGCGCAGGTGTGAAACCGGGGCACAGGTCACAGGGCTGCCATGTGGTCACAAATCCGAGAAGTGGGGCGCTGGGAAGCTCTCCGCTCTGCTTACTGAATGACGACCCTCTCAACCTCAGGTGGCCCTACAGCCCCCCATCTGAACTGCCAAAAAACTCACGGGCTCCCAGGAGCACCTTCGACACCACCAGCCCACGTCCCCATGTTACTGGTGGGAACAGGGCAGCTACCAAGGAGCAATCAGGGGTGGAGCTCAGCCCTGGCCTCCCCATCTCTGCCCCCCTGTACTGTGTCCTCTGTTGTCACCTGGAATAGCAGTAGGCTCAGCCTCGCGGTGACTTACGCGTTGTCTCTTATGTCCACGACTCAATGTCGCGTGTAACCGCACTCCCAGTTCTCCACTTGCCCCTCCCTTGAGGCCAGGCAATGTCCTTTAACATCGAGGAGACTCATTTTACAGACCGGGAGACCGAGACTCCAGGAGGTTAAGGCCGAGCTCACATCCAGGTTTCAAACCCAGATGTATGTTTCTCTGGGGCAAGCGCTTTGCTCGCTCACAGGGGGCAGGTGGCGCAAGTGTCGTGTGTCTCCAGAGAAGGGCCTTGCAGCCATAGGCAAAGAGGATGGAGGAGACAGTGCTGCCCAGAGGTGGCTCTGGGGGCAGAGGCGTGGTGGCCACCCAGGCAAGGGCAGCCTACCTACCTTCAAGCCTCCTCTCCTGAAGGCTTCACCTGCATCCACCTGTTCCCGCCAGGTTCAGAGGCCGACAGGAAGCCCCCAGGGCTCACGGCAGGCCTGGCTGAAGCCAACCTTCATCTCCCAGGCCTTCCTCCCTCCCTGCAGGCCCCGACCCCAGGGCGTTGTTCTTTGAGCTGGGCCCGACCTCTTCACAGGCTACACGCATGGAGTACGTGAGCATGAACACATGCCTACCCAGGAAACACCTTTAGTGTGTGCCAGCACTGTTCTAGGCCCAGATGTTGGACAGAGGCGGTCTAAACTAGTGCTACCTGCTAGAATTTTCTGCAGCCTGGTAATATTCCGCATCTGCGCCGTCCCAGCAAGATGGTAACCACGAGCCACGTGGGGCCAGAGGGCACATGGAAGGCGCCGGTGCCACTGCAGAACTGAGCGTCAGCTTCTGTGTAGTTACCGTGAGCTCCAGCAGCTCCGCGTGGCTCGTGGGGACTGATGGACAGTACAGGGCTGGGCGGAGTCGGACAGCACGGACATGAGTGTGTGACACTATGTGAGAGGGGATGGCACCTGGGGATAGTGACATGGGATAAATGGCCTGAGAGTGATGGCGGAGGGTCACAGGGCCTTTTGGTGGTAGTGAGGTTTGAGTTGGGAAGAGAATGAAGTGAGGGGGTGGGCCACGGGTATCTGGGGGAAGGGTGTTTTGGGCAGAGGGAAGAGTGACGTCGAGGGAGGTGCCAGGCTTGGGCTGTGTGGGGAAGAACAGGAGGATGGGTAGCCAGCTGGGCAGCATGGAAAACTCCAGAAGAGATCAGGCAGGTGGGGAGGGCCAAGTGGAGGATGGGGCTGCTTCACACCTTTTCGTCTCTTTCCATCTGCAGCTCGCTCTGTCCGAGCCCCGTTTGGACGGACAGGTTCTTCTCCGCATCTGCGGCTGCCCCCCAGGGCAGTATATGGACAGGCCGCTCCTCCCCGTGGACATGACCTGCGTTTCAGAGAATCCAGCAGCTGCCCCAGCCCAGGAGGCCTTTCTCCTGGTGCAGACAGCCACACACCCGCTCTGGGGACCAGCCGAGGGCCCCACGCCCCTACCGCTGCTGCTGCTCCCAGAAGCTCCCCCAGAGGTGTCGAACACCAGGCCCCCACCTGCTGCCGTAACTGCAGGACACCCTGGCTGGGATTGTCACCAAACAAGAGGCCAGGATGTCCCCTTCTGCCAGGAGGACCCCCACACTTCAAATCACCGATCTCCCAGGAAGGAGCTCACGTATCTAAAAGACACTTGGGATGACGGAGGAGGGGACTCAGGCACGAGAACCAAGGAGTGGGAGACAAGGAAGACAGAAGGTAGGAAAGACAAAAACCTCAATGAAAAATACCAGCCAAATCAGCAAAGCCAGGAGAGCCTGAGCTTGCCGAATGGAGTCCGGGTCCCCGATGCTGTGCAGGACAAGGGCAGAGGTGCGGAGACCCAGGCCACAGCCTGCTGCCCTCGGCCCTGGCACGAGTTCCTAGTGCCCCTTCTGCAGGAGGAGGCCTCAGTGCCGAAGGAGGGTCTTGAGTGCCCGAGCAGGAGGGAAAGCATGGAAGGATATGTCTGGGGCCTCCTAGAACTGCCGTCATCAGAGAAGGAGGAAGTAGGGCCCCCAGCCACCTGCTCAGGGGCTCAGGGGACCAAAGAGCCACGGTCAGCAGGAGGTGAGCTGCTGGCTAAGGGGAGAGCCATCGGGAGAAGAGTGGAGGGCCAGGAGGAAAACCGGCGGTGGTTTGGAAAGTCTTGGCTTCTGCAAAAGGAAAGCCAGAGGGCTGGAGGGCAAGGGGATGAGGAGGAGGTGCCACGTCAAGAAGCACCCAGTCTGGGTCCCAGGAATGTCCCCCAGAAGCCTGACTCCGAGGAGTGGGAGGGCAATGAGACGCTGCTCTCCGTGAGCCAGAGCGGTTTGCTGCTGGTCCCCCAACTGGCCTTACCAGCTGATGGGGACAACTCTGCTAGCTGTCCATGGGATCCAAGCACAGGAGGTGAAAGGTACACTCTCAGAATCGATGACTTTGAAAAGGAGATGGAGGCTTGTTTCCAGCAAGTCTCCCTCCTGAAGCCTGGCTGTGGTGGTCAGCTATGGAAAACCTCCACCTTGGCGGGACAGAACTGGAGCTTTGCCCGGAAATGGCCCGGCTGTGAAGAGCACGAGTGTTTCCACCGTGCTGCGGCAAAGCAGAGTTCGGATATTTGTTTTCTGAAGGAAGCAAAGTCCGAAGAAAATGATGACCGTGTTACATCAGGAAAGACCAAGGCCCTAGGCACCAGCCAGATTTTCCCAGGGATGGTGTCTGACTTGGATGACGCCCTCCCAGGCCCTCCAGCGGGGCTCTCTGAGCTGGAGCTGACCCAGCAATCAGGAGGCCTGGAGAGATTAAGAAGCAGCTTTCACCAGCTCCTGTCTGCACTGAGGGAAGAAAGAAGCCAGGTTTTACATGACAGCACCAAACTGCAGGAAGCCCAAGAGAGGTACTGCAAGCAAGCGTGCACCCTCGAGGAAGAGAGGGCCAGAGACCAAAGAAGAATCTCCAGGCTTGAGCAGGATAACAGCAGGCTGGTAGGAGACATCTCTCATTTAAAGAGGGACCTGGACCAATACCTGCAGATCATCTCTGACCTCGAAGACTGCAATGGGAAAAGTTACCACAAGATTTCGGAGCTTGAAGAGGAAAATGAAAAACTGAAAGGGAATCTGAGCCAACTCCAGAAAGCTATGTCTGAGAGCGTTCGGAAGTCCAGAGGCGCGATAGAGCATGTCTCTCGGGAAAATTGGGAGCTCAAGGGGCTCGTTTCAGAGCTGGGGGTCAGTTACAAAGAGCTGATCAAGGACATCGTGCTGGGAATAGAAGACATGATCCGGACCTTGAAGGGTGAGAACAAACACCTGCTCTGCAGGGTCCGTGTCTTGGAGAGGGAGGTGATGCTGAGGATGAGCACGGGTGGCGGGCATTTGGTGGGAGGAAGGGACCACCTCCAGGCAAATACCCAGACAGCAGTGGACAGAGGGCATGCCACAGACAAAGAGGTTCAGGTGACTCAGCCTGCAGGGCAATGGACTATAAGAGCCCACCCACCAACCTTGGATGTGGAAACGGGTCTGCCTGCAAGACAGAAAGAACCTTCCTTAGCCTTGAGTTCCGGAAGCGGGGCTGATTCCAGTACTCTATCCTTGGTCTGGAGAAATGCTCGAGTACCCAATACCCTGCAAGGGAACATCGATGGAGCAGGAATCAAAGAAGCACATTTGGAAAAAGAGGAGACAAGCCCGGGGTGCTCTGCAGCCCAAGGGCGCGCCCTGAGGTCTCTGAGCAATGGCCCCCAGGTAGGTTGACCTTGCGCAGCTGCATGCAGTACCCGTGCTGGCTACCTTCTCTGGTGCTCCACCCCCGGAAAGCCCCCTGCAGCCCTGTGAGGGAGGAGCAGTCACCATTCCCATTTACCGGATGAGAAGTCAAGTGACTGGCCTGGGGTCACACGGTGAGTGGGGGGTCGGGGGCAGGGCTGGGCCTTGCACCTAGTTGATCTGACTTCACAGTCTCCATGCTTAGCTACTATAGAAGTCTCAATGTGAGTCTGCCCCTCTACTTAGACTCTTCACATCGGAGTCCAATAGAGCACAAAGGGGGAGTTTACGCTTTTACGTTAGACCTTGTGTTTCGGGATCTGGGGTTTCTCAAGCAGCCCAAGTCAGAATGCTGCTCAGTAATCTTGAAAGGTGCAATAGAAAGAGTAGGGGCTGTAGACCTGACAGGCAGGCTTCAAACTCAGTTGTTTCAGACCTGTGATTGCGAGCCCAGGTATGGCCTCCTGTGAGTCACTGCCCTCATCTGGGGACCACATGGTACTCGACTTCCAGGACTCCCAGGATGAAATTTTCATGATGTTCTTAGGTGGGCTTTAATAGTATCAGTAAGAAGAACAGCAGATGGTGTAATGGATACGTTGCCGGACTCCCATGTAGTTGACCGTGGTTTGAGTCCCAGATGCCAGGCGCATGTGCGTGCGTGCCCAAGATCCTGAGAGGAGAATGGAGGAGAAGGGATTGCAGCGTGGCCGTTCCCTCCCCCGGGGGATGATTTCTCACTGCCTGTCTCTATCTCTCTGGCAAGTGCACCTGCCCTATAGCAAAACTCTCTCTTAAAAAATAATAACAACAATAATAACAAAAATATGATCAGTAGGATATTTAGTGTTGAGCCCTTTGTATTTATTCATATTCACTTTTTGTGTCTCTCTCCCTTTCCCCTCTTTCTTTTTTCCATCTCTCTTCTTTCTCTTCCTCCTTCCCTCCCCATCCCTTTTTCTCTCCCCTAGCAATTTTTAAAATCATTCCATAGAAATCAAAGAATTTGATGAAAAGAATTTGGGTTTAGTGATTTTCTTTATTGCTTGTCTGTCTTTTATTTCATCGGTTTCTTTTAATATCTTCGTCATAGTCTTTCTTTCACTTTCCTCTGCATTAATTTGCTGGGCTTTAAAAAAGTTTTTTTTATTGTGTCTTGCATTGAAACTTAGATTAGTTTTTCAATGTTCTTCTTTTGCGATTTATGCATTTAAAGATATACATTTCTAAGCATCCCATAATTTTGATATGATGTCTGTTCCTTTCAAAGTAGTTTCTGATTTTGACTGTGATTTCTTTTTTGACCCATGTGTTATTTAGGAGTATGTTGCTTAATTTCTAAGCGTCTGTGAGATTTTTTTTAGTTATATTTTTGTTATTGATTCCTAGTTTTATTTTGTGTTGTCAGAAAGCACATACCGCATTATTTTAATCTTTTAAAATTTGTTGAGACTTGTTTTATTGATCAGATTATGGTCTATTTTGGTAAATATCTCACATTTTCTTGTAAAAGATGACTATTCTGCAATTGTTGAATATTAATTAGGCCAGATTAGTTCATCACATCTTCTAAATATTTACTGATGTGTTGTCTATCTGTTTTGTCGTTTACCAAGATGTATTTTAACATCACAATTCTGAATATGTGTTTGTATACTTTTTCTTTTAGCTTTGTTATTTTTGATCCATAGATTATGTCATTATTTTATATAATTTATTTACTATTTTTTCTGTCTTATTTATTCTGTTTTATTTTTACTTTCTTGCCTTTTTTGGGTATTAATCTTATATGTATATGTTTACTTACTTATTTACTTCCTGGAAAGGATACAGAGACAGAAAGAGTGAGAAAGAGAATGATGGATACCCCCAACGGGTCTTCACGCCATGATCCTACGCCAGCCTCATCTAGCCAGGGTCATGGGTCACATGCTTAGTGTGAATGCAGAGACCTTGGAACACAAGCTCTGGTTTGCTAGTCTTGTGTTCTACTATGTCCCAACTTCTGCTAAGTCCAGCCAAGGGGTTCCTAATTTTATTAATTGCATTTTGCAGTTCAAGAATATCCACTTTATGCTTCTTCTTTAAAAAGAGATCCATTTTGTTGATTTTCCCCTGTGTTTTTTGTTTTTTTTTTCTTTTTTTTTTTTTTTTTTGGAGAGATTTTTCACTGTAGGGCGCGTGCGCTTACCAGACAGACAGAGAGAGACAGAGAGACAGAAAGCGAGAAATCACCCCCAGGGGGGATGGTCATGCCACAATCCCTTCTCCTCCATTCTCCTCTCGGGATCTTGGGCACGCACGCACACGCGCCCGGCGTGAGTTTTAAGCCACCGGGTCCGGGACACGAATCACGGTCGACTACGTGGGAGTCCAGCGACATAGCCATTACGCTAACTGCTGGTTCCCTTCCCCTGTGTTTTAAAATATTAAGTTGTTGGGAAAAATCATGATGTATTTTTCTACATTTTCCTATGGAAAATGGTGTTACGGCTTTCTCAATGACTCAATATATAAAAATCCTAATTGTTTTAAAGACCTTGTTTGCTGCCTCCAATATCTGCATCATCTCTTCGACAGTTTTTTGACTATTTTATTTCTTAGTGAATAGTAACAATTTTCTCTTTCTTCACATGTCTAGTAATTAAAATGTTTACACTGGACATCATATATGATTTGTTGCGGAGATTCCTGATAAACATTGTCAGTGGTTCTGAAGTTACGGAACTGTGATTAGACCATGTTGTACCTGTGCAATTCTATTTCAGTCGTGCCCTCAGTCCTAGAGCTTGACTGTTCTCCTAAAGTGCCCTTGCTCCAGGGCAATGTCTTTCCATGGCATCGGCTGAGTTCTTCGAGTGATTGCCAACGTCGTCCCCCTTGGACTTGGCCAGAACTCTGCCATCTTCTTGTAGCATGTGACCTCCAACATCTCTTCAGCAATTCAGCTCCCAGACGCTGCTCCCACGAAGCTTAGACTCTCATACTGGGCCGCACAGCTTAGGAGTCAGTCAGGGACCCACAAGACAGTTCTAGGACGGTATTCGAGTTTCTTCTCTGCGGCTCTCTCCTCTCTGTAACTTTGTCCCATAAACCCCAGCTGTCTTAGCATCTCTGGACTCCAGTCTCTTACTTCTCTACTCAGCAGGACTGCCACTCTCAGCTTGGGCACTATTTTCCCAAAGCACGCTTTGGAAAATATTTCAAAAAGAAATCTAGGGAAATGTGGAGTTTGCCTTTCGAGGCATCCGTTTTTTGCAAGCTTGCAGACCTCCATAGCTCACCATCCAATGCCTGCAAAGAATGCTTTTCGTACGGTCGTCTGATACCGGCTCTTTGGACCTAGTAAATCTGAGGAGTTCAGTATTAGGCTGAGCCCTTCAGGGTTAACAATGAGCAGCAAGGAAGGGCTTTCTAGGCAGTGAGACAAGCAAGTGGCTGCGCTCTGAGCTCAGAAAGAGCTTGGCTTCTGGAAAAATACAGAAAATAGCTTCTGTGGCTGGCTCAAGTTGACACGGAGGCTGAAGGAGAGGTGTGGTATGGTATGAAGGTGGAGAAACTGTCATGAGACAGGCCACAGAAAGCTCGTGGGCCCTTAACATGATCTTTCCTAACTGCAACGGGAAGCTGTCGGAGGGTTCTAAGCAGGAGAAAAACGAGGTCCGACTTGTACTGTAGGAATATCACTGTCTGCCGTGAGGAAAATGGGCCGGGTGGATTCAGAGAGAACAGGGGAAAGGAGTTCTTAGTTGTATAGCCTAGCGGTGAGGAATTTGGAATTAAAAACTGGAGCTGGAATCCATGGAATCTGGCGATGGGAAGAAGACAGTGAAGGAAGTATCCTCTCTCTTGTCTCCTACGTCACAAAGCTGATCATGTCATTCGTTGTCTTAAAACCCTTTGGTGGCTTCCTACTGTACTGGACGTGAAACTCAGACTTCCTCTCTGGGAACTCAGGAGCATCAGCTACGGCCACTTACATCCCTGCCCGCCATGCCCAGTGCCGCAGCCCCTGCCTCAGTTTTCTGCATTCTCGTTCTGGGATCGCCGTTGACCCCAGCACTCAGGGTGGGCGTCTTCTCTCAGAAACTGCCCCAGCCCCCAGGTGGGCTCTGTGCAGAGGCATGTTAGAGCTCACTCATGCACACTCCTGTGTCTAGCTCTGTGTTCAATAATGTCATTCTGGTAGCTTGCAACTGGTGGAAGTATTTACACCATGGAAATGGGTAAATGCTAAAAATTGATGCTGTCCCTCCCCGACCCAGGAAGCAGTTGCTATACATCGGCCACCACAACCCTGCGTGGCGCCTCCAGTTTAGTGACTTCTTTAGGCTTCTGGCATCCCTTGGCCACTCTACTGTGTCTAGTGTCCTCCTTCACAGGACAGAGCTCCTCGAGGGCAGCATGCCCTGAAGTCTCCATCGCAAGTGTGGCCTCTGGCTAGAGCATGTGCTCATGATGTTTGGGAAGAGCCAGTGATGGGTGCAGCTCAGGGCTGCCGTGTGCTACAGTCCTGTGTGACAGGCAGGCTGCCCCACCTCACATTGCCGTTCCCTTTAGAATATGCCATGGCTGCTCCTGAGGACCATGGGACAAGTCCTCATATCACTGCCAGGGAAGGGAGGCAGCGAGGCAGTGGAGGGAGCTGAAAGGTCAAGTTGTTTTGAAGTCGTAGAGCCGAATTTCACAGAGCCATTCGGAGCACCCATCTGTTCTTGACAGGGCCCAGTCTGTGAATCTCAGGCCCACGCAATGCGAATGTCTATTAATTAAGAAAAATATCCATCCCATTCTGCCATCATGTTCCTGGTTAACAAAGGAGAGGCCCGGTCAGCTAGGGAGTCACACTGGTTCTTGCCCTCTTGCCGTCTCCTCCCTCCTCTCTCTTTCCTACCCAGAACAGCTGGGGATCCCTCTCCCACTGCTCCCACTGGCTGGGAAGGTGTGGGAGAGATGATATTTGCAGACCTCAAAATTCCTGGGGTGTCTGCTTTAAATGAAATGTAGCAAGAGGGGAGAGCCTTTGAAAAGTCTGAGACGTCTCTGGGCATCCTCACCCTTTCTGAATGGAGCTTTCACTCTTAGCAGTGCCCACTCCTTCAGAAGGCCAGTCAAAAGCAGTGTGAACCAAGAGCTTAACCCCACTCGTGCCCTTTCATCCAGAAATTCCCGCTCTGATGCTTCTGGGGAAAGCCCCAGGGGTACGCTGCAGTGTTTACACGCACCAGTGTTTACCACCGCCTCAGGTACAGCAGCAGACCTCAGGCCGATCCAAACATCCCACATGGCCACGGAACGCCACATCCGTGCCCACGGCAGCATTTACAACTCCTTTCCGTTCATTGGTGCTATGAAAAAATGCACACGATACGATGTCAAGGGAGAAAAGTGGGATGCAAAAGATACACACTGTGTGTTAAATTCTATGTAGGAAATATGTGTAGGGCCAGCAGGTGGCATGGTGGTTAAGGTGCTGATTTCTGCATTACTGAGCACGGTTCAAGCCCTGGACCCAGTGGCTTGAAAAATCATGCTGAGTGTGCATACGTGCATGCCCAAAATCCCAAGAGAAAGGAGAGAAGGAATTGCGGAGTGGCCATCACCCCTAGGGGAGTGATTTCTCACTTTCCCTCTCTCTCTCTCTGTCTCTTCCCAATAAGCACATGCATCTTATGGCAAAAACCTAAAAGAAAGAAGAAAAATACGTGTATATACTTATGCTTCTATTTGTATAGGTATATGTATATAAGTTATTTAAAAATGGGAAATCAGAGCCCAGAACCATCCAGGGGAAGTAGCGACTTTACCCCTTAACCGCACTCCCCGCAGCGTGAGATCAGCCGTTCCTTCTCGCCATTCTCCCTCCCAGAGACTCCCTTTGGCGTCCCTGTGGAATGTGCTACCTTCGAGTCAGACCCAAGAGGAGTGACGGGCAATCTTGCTCTGGTTTGAGGAAAGCGTTTGTGGAAAATACAATGCTTCCTGTTTTATATAAAGCTTTACTGTAATAAGCATATCATACTCTAAAGTGAACATTACGTTTCATTCATTGTCCTGTGTTCAGTAACGTGGTGACATTCAGTTGAGTGACAGCATAGCAGCAGCATAGTCTCAGTAGGCTATGATACTCCATCGTGCATTTTTTTTTTTTTTTGGAAAAAAACAAAACAAAACCGAAAACAACAATCCAGGATGTTATTCTGGGATTCCCCACACCCCCAACACCTGTCTCAGGAAACCTAGTACGGGCCGCACTCAATTTGAGTGCATGTGAGGACCCAGAAGGGAGATGACGCGGGGCTGGGCGCTGGTGCGGTGGTGAAAGGCAGAGCGTTGTGAGGCTGCATGTGGGAAGGTCCCGGCTCACAGCCAGAGACCTCAGTGCACCAGGCCTGCGTGTGCCCATGACTGGGCTGGCTGGGTTGGCTGGGTCGTGGCATCGGGACCCCGTCTGGCATGATCTCTCTCTCTCACACTCACTCATGGAAAAAATGCACAAACTTATATGTATGTATATATTTATTTTGTTTTTTTTTTTTGCCAGAGGCTGTATGCACTGCCTGGAGAGAGACAGAGAAAGACAGGGCAGGTGAGAAATCACTCCTGGGATGTGTGGGGGGAAGAGCATACCACAATCCCTTCTCCTCTGTTCTCCTTTCGAGAGATTTTGGACACACACGCCTATGTGCCTGGTGTGATTTTCAAGCCGCCAGGTCTGGGACTTGAGCTGTGGTCACCAATGTGGGAATCCAGCACCTTAACCACCACGTCACCTGCTGATCCCCATAAATAAACTTAAAAAATTATTTAGAAAAGAGAAAGACTACGTGGAAAATACGTGGATGATAATAAAGGGTATGCTGGGTAATAGGGTTGGGGAATTATTTGCTGCCTTTTTTTCCTCTTCTCTCTTTTTCTTTTCTTTCATTTTCTTTCTTTCCTAGGTTTTTGCCATAGGGCACATGTGCTCACCTGAAAGAGAGAGACACAGTGAAAGGGAAAGTGAAAAATCACCCCCCAGGGGAATGGCCACACTGCAGTCCCTTCTCCTTCATTTCATTCCTGGGATTTGAGGCACACATGCAACTGTGCCCTGTGTGATGTTTAAGCTCCCGGGCTGGGACTCGAACCATGATTTTAGCCATGTGTGAGTCCAGCCCCTTAACCACCAGGCCACCTGCTGTTGGCCTGTGTTGTCTTATTTTCTAGAACAGTTTTTAGAAAATATTTTAATGCAATAAAAAAAGGGATCTTGGAAGATAACTTAGGAATCTTATTCTGTGCTTTCAGCAGCTGCAAGCCCCAGAGGCCAAGGCTGTCAAGGAAGACCCCGGGCTGTGCATCCAGCGACTCCATCACCAGGTGCTGACCCTGCAGTGCCAGCTCAGAGACCAGGGATTCGCATACCGGGAGCTGCAGGCGTCGTGGGATAAGTCTATCCACATCCGGGACAAGCTCCAGGGCCAGGTGGGCTGGGCCGGTGCTGCCCTCTCTGCTCCTGTGCACAACTGCTCTCTCCCCAAGTCATTCCAGGACCAGGAAAGAAGCCAGCTAAGGTCTCCCTGGTCATTACCAGCAGGTTTATTAATTTAAAGTGTAGAACTGTACAAGGGACCTGCAATCTCTCTGTCCAGATATCCTCTGGCCAATAAAAAATAATACATGTCGGGGCCGGCAGATGGCACGCTGGTTAAAGGCGCTGGATTCCCACATGACCTACTACAGTTCAAGTCCTGAACCTGATGGCTTGCTTTCTCACTTTCTTCTTTCGCTCTCTCTCCCTCTCTGGTCAAATTAAAATTAAAAAATGGATAAATAAAGTTAAAATAAAATAATTATTTTTTAAAAAATAATACATATATATGATTTTTTAAAAATTTTGCTATAGGGTGTGTATGTTTGCAAGAGAGAAAGGGGAAATGAGAATGCACCCTGCAGGGAGAACGGCCGGACTACAAGCCTTTGTCTTCCCTTTTTCCTCTCAGAATTTTGTGTATGGCACTCACTTGCACTTGGCTTGTTTTTCTTTTTCTTTGTTTTCCTCTTCCCTTTCTTTTTCTTTTAAAGAATTATTTATTTAATTCTATTTAGTCATTCATTTATTTCAATTTGACCAGAGAGAGAGAGAGAGAGAGAGAGAAAGTGAGAAAGCAAGCAACTGGGTCCAGGACTCGAACCATGGTCGGCCATGTAGAAGTGTCCAGCACCTTAGCCACCACTCCACCTGCTGGTCCCATCGTCTTCCCTTTCTTTCTATTTTATTTTTACATTCAACCACTGTACATCTCTACAGCATACAAAGTGAATTTTCGCAGCATGAATACACTGTGTATTAGTCCAGTGAAAGCTGTTACAACATACATCGTCATCGACAGATAATTTTCCACTTTTGTGTCTGTTAAATGTTCCATTTCTTTTTTCCCCTTGATGTCCTCCCTCTTACCTCTCCCTTATTTCTCACCCTCCTCCCACACTGTCTCTGGTATCCACAGTTGCTCTCCATGTTTTTAATACCTTCCTATATTTCAGTTTCTGCCATAAAGTGCAGACATTCAGTTTATATTAAGTGGGGGATATACAATGCCTGGTATGTTTTTCTAGCTGCCGGATCTGAGACTTATTCTGTGCAATTGGCCATGTGAGATCCAGCACTTTAACCACCTTGACGCTGGCAGGTCCCGTGTGTGTGTGTATACATATACACACACACACATATATTACATATATATATATATTACATATATATTACATACCTATATATATATTTAAAGTCAAGCAAGTTTAAAATGTTATGTACATAAAGTTAAAAGTCCTTCTTTGGGAGGTAAGTAGGTATGCGTATAAACAGGCAACATCTTGGTCTGCTATTGTATTGCTTACACAAGTAACTGAGACTGGGTAACTTATAAAAAAATCAAAAAGAAGTTACTTGACTCATGATTCTGGTGGCTAGGAAGCCCAAAGGTGTGGGCTGACAAACGACATGACTGACAGAAGCAGAGATGGTGGTGGACGTGTGCTCAGGGAGCCCAGGGACAGCTATCTGACTATCTAAGTCTATGTAAAATGTATAGAGCTGAGGGATTCGGAATTAAAATGAACCCCCTTCTCATTAGGTATCAGGAGACGCCATCAATCTAGTCATGACAGGGATTCCGCCATGGTCCCGTCACTGCTCCCTAGGCCCCACCTTCCTTTACATTGGGAACAAATTCCAAAACGTGAATCACTGGGAGACCAACACTTTCCAAACCGTGGCAGGCAACAAGAGGAATCCTTGGGGTGTTAAAAGTGTCCAGTATGAGGAATCTTAAAAAGTTCATGAAAAATGTTTTTAAAAAGCATAAATTTCAAATTATTTTTGTACCAAAATAAACTTGTACTTTAATGCCATTTTTTTCAGGAACGTCTGGAAGTCCCCTTGTAAACTAATTGTGATGGTAGATATGTGAATTTATACAGGTGGTAAAATTGCATAGAACTCTCTCTCTCTCTCTCTCACACACACACACACACACACACACACAAACGTAAAACTGGAGAAATCCAAGTACGATCAGTAGATTGTATCAGTTTCAATCCCTGGTTGTGATATTGCTATAGTTTTGTTGCTGCTTTTTTATTTTCTTTTTTCTCTTAGGTGTGTACTCTCGCTGGAGAGAGACAGAGAGAGGGGAAATGAAAGATCACCCTCTAGGGGAGACGGCTATGCTGCAATCCCTTCTCCTCCATTCTCCTCCTGGGATTTGGGGCACACATGCACACGCATCCAGTGTGATTTTTAAGCTGCCGGGCCAGGAGTCAAACCAAGATCAGCCACGTGGGCATTAGCACCTTCACCACACTGCTGCCGGATGCTCACACTATGGCTTTGCAAACTACAGGAAACTGGTCAAATTGCACAAGGGATCTTTCGGTATGATTTCTTACAAATGTTCGCGAGTCTCTAAGTAGCTTAATTTTGTAAAATTGAAAAAATACAAGTCCTTCTTCTCCTTCAATCCCTTCTCACCTTCAGCTTTCCCGCAACCGTATTCTCCATTTAGAATGCATCTGTGTGCATGTACGTACATGACATCGTACTACATAAAACCAGTCTGCACTTGATTTTGTCACCTAATAAAACTCTTGGTGCTATTTTCATCTTGGCCTACACAAACTGACCTCCTTCTTTTGAAATTTTACATGTTATTTCATCCTAAGGCAAAAGCATAGTTTTCAATGAATATTTCTCTCTTTCTTGGCATGTGCTTTTGCTACTTAAACAGTAACATTCTAGCACTTCACAGAAAACCGAGGTTGAGGAAGATAAGTACTTGCACAAGGGCACAATATTGGGAATGGCTGAGACGGGGTTAGCACTGAGGGTGTCTAGCTCAGAAACTCACGTTCGACGTCAGACCCCAAACTCCGTCTCTGCATGGGGAACCATGGAAGGTTTTCCTCTGAAAGCAAGCGGCTCTGGGGCCTGCCAGCGGTCATGTCTGACTGGGCCCATTTTCGAGTGTTTGGAGTGTCCATGCCCCTTTGATCCCGCCAAGCAGGTGACCCTGCCAGCAGAGTCTCCAGCCTGAGAGTAATCGAAAGCGTTGCTTCTATTTCAGCTTGAAGAACTTCGGAAAAAGCAGCATGAAGCAAATTTGGCTGTGACTCCCCTGAAGGTACTATGTTTATAAAATCAATACGAGCTGTCTCTTTCAAAAGAAAAAGAGTGTAGCATTTTCCCCACTATCAGTGTAGCCCAGCTCTATTGTATACAAACACTAGAAAGAAGGATGAAGGAGACGAAAATCGCCGGAATCCCGATTTGAATGTAACACCTTCACGAATTTCTCTGTCGACTGTGTCACCAGGCCAGGCTGGTTTCTCTCTCCCCCTCTTTTCAATCTCTTTTGCAGGAGTGTGTGAGTGTGTGTGTACTTCTTCCATGAGAGACAGAAAGAGAGAGAGAGAGAGAGCGAGGGAGACACCTCCATCAAGGTCTTCATGCCACAGTCCATCTCCAGTCCGACCAGCCCAAGTCACCAGCAGGTGCTGCATGCCTGCCATGCTCAGGGAGGTCCCAAGACGCAAACCCAGGAACTTCCCATGTGGGTCCAGCCTCGCTACCATGTGCCACCGGGTGCAGCCACCGGGTGCCTCTTCCGTGCATTTTCACATGTGTCTGAGATCCTACGGGGCCTGTACGTTTGTGTCCTGTTTTCCCTCTTGACGGGATCACCTGGAAGGGGACTGCATGTTGTTACCCACCTCTGAAGCTGTCGTTCGTGCAGTGTGAGACGCATCTGTTCAAAACCACCATCTCTTTGCTCACTCTCAAGTTCATCCCTTTCTCTCTCGAAAATCTCATGGTAGAGAGCATGTATGTGTGCATGCATGTGCACATGCATGATAGAAAGAGAATGCAGAGCCCTGTATTCGTGGACTCCCACCCTTCTAGGCCAAGCTGGCTTCCCTGGTCCAGACGTTGTAGTGCTTGGACAGGGGAGAGAGGAAGGAAAGAGAGAAAGCACCTGCTCCAGGGCCTGCTCAATCCGCAGTCCCCTTCCTCCAGCCCATCAGGATCTTGGGCACATGCACACATCCGTCACATTGTAGGTTGGTCGGGTGGGCCAGGCATCCAAACTGCGGTCAGCCAGGTGGGTTCCAGCACTGCAGCCTGGTATGTGCTGGCCTGTGCCACCAGGATGGGCCAGTCTGTCTGTCTGTCTATCTGTCCCTCTCCCCCTCTCTGGCATGATTGTATATAAATGTTGTGATGCGTGTTTTTTCTTAGAAACGTTTTTCCCCACATGTATAAGCATTTCTGTTTAGGACAAGCTTGGAGAAATGGCATCCCTACCCCAAAGAGTTTAATATGCTCCTTTTCAGTTGAATGTGGAATTTGGATAGGACCAGCAGTTGGTATGATGGCTATGTTGCTGGAGTCCCATGTAGTCGACCACGGTTCGAGTCCCGGACCTGGTGGCTTAAACTCATGCTGGGTGTGTGTGCATGCGTGCCCAAGATCCCAAGAGGAGAACAGAAGAGAAAAGATTGTGGCATGGCCATCACCCCTGGGGGTGATTTTCACTTTCTGTCTCTCTGTCTCTGTCTTTCTGGTGAGTGCACATTCCCTGTAGCAAAAACCTCTCAAAAAAAAAAAAAAAAAAAAGAATTTGGTTAAGGTGACGTATTTATCTCAGATATGGGCCTGGGTTTGGGGAGAGGCTGGAGGGTCCATTCTTTCTCTCTGTTCTCAGGGCACGGAGGAGCGGGAGGAGGCCTGGATGGGGCATCAGCAGAATATGGTGTCACCTCAGAACCCCACTGACCTGCTGAGTCACCCTCCCTTTGGGCCTCAGTTTCCTCAGCTACCCGATCCCTGAAGTCACTTCCCATCTCAGAATTCCACTTCTCGGGTCTGGAGTTCGCATCTGTGAAGGAGAAAT